GCGAAGTGCCTTATAGATGTATTCACTGACCTTGAAATGTACCATTTTCGGCTAGTGGTCACACTTGCTTTTTATTTTGATCTATGAGGATTTAGCGTCTATATGGTTTGTGTCCCGGCCAGCTTCCCACAGGTATAGGGCCTTCATAAAATCGTGATGAGTACCTGACTTCAGTCTTAACCCATTCAAACGTCAGAAGAGCGTAAAACAATCAAACAAGATTCATCACTTCACTGCTCAGCTCTGTCAATCACCTGTAAGCTATTATACACATGCAAACATACCATTCGAATAGAGATAGAAGCCAACAAAGTGCGATTATCAAAGATGAGAACGCCACGCGCGCGGAAGCTGCCATAGTCACGGTTTCATTATTGCACTATACCTTCGCAACGCACACGCTACGCGGTCTAAATGCCTCTAACCACCCTTTTTGAACCTTTGATCGAGAATCTTTTGCCTCATTTTTCCTCTTCTTCGATCTTCCTTTCAGATAATGGGGTATAGGTACTAGCGCTATTTGTGCATGGCCATTGCAGACCAGGACATGTGTAACGAGTATCTGATTTCGGTCATATAGGCAGTGTCCGGGCAAAAACTCGATTTTGGGATTTTGTACTTACCCGGGCCTATTCGCTATGCTGAACCCGAAAATCCACATTGGAGAGCGCGAAAACGACGAAAAAGGGCTCTAACACTGGAGGGAAATCAGCAAGTGGGCGGGGTCTTCCCCACTGTGAGTTCACGCTCCCAGCTTCGGGGGCGATCTTTTTGATTCCGGTTTCAAGTCATTCGTTTGCACTTGATCGGTAGTGATGTCAGGGCGGTTAACGGACTCGAGAAAATTGCTCTGGAAGCTGGAAGCGTGAATTCACATTGGGGAAGACCCCGCCCACTTGCTGATTTCCCTCCAGTGTTAGAGCCCTTTTTCGTCGTTTTCGCGCTCTCCAATGTGGATTTTCGGATACAGCATAGCGAATAGGCCCGGGTGAGCACAAAATCTCAAAATCGAGTTCTTGCCTGGACACTGCCTTTAACTCACGCAAACGTCACAAAAGCTTCTCTTAGAAACTCCCAAGTCAATCTTGGTTTGCATCATCAATACAACACTTCGATTCAAAACTATTGTTCGAGTTCGCCCCATCTGCGCGTGCGTATAAGCAGGAGCGAGAGCTTGCACTGTTCAGAGACGAGCCTTTCGGAACGATACGAAACTTTGCGAATAATCAAAAAAAGTTGAAGATCTTCAAAGGTAAAGCAAGTTCTTTCAATGAGAGCGCGCCTGCGAGTTTCACCCGTATGATGCCGCAGAGTCGCTGTGCCGTCCTTAAAGACAGTGGATCGGCAAAATGCCCCTTCTTGGATTCTGGTGGTGTTGGATTGGCCCCCAGGTACACTGCAGCCCAAACTCCACTGCCAAATCGTGCGCGAAGTCCTGAAAATGCGCTTCGGAACTCATCCCGCCCCACCCACTTCCACAGTGGGCCTGATCGGTGGAGTTTTGAGGCGCATTTTTCATAACTTAGCGCACGAATTGGAAGGGTGTTTGGGCTACTACTTTGGGGTCTACCATTCAACACTACCAAACGAGAAGGGTCCATATTGCCAATCCACTGCCTTTAAAGGCCGCGTCCGCACAGAATCTCGGCTTCGTGTTTTCGGCGTTACCATTTCGACGTCCCCGATTCCAAATTCGAACTGAAAATTGTGTGAAATTGTTGGTAACCTAAAGCTACCTAATTTAGATCGGCCTTTTGGCAAGCGACATATATTTTATAAAACAGCTTCAAACGCTGATCCCAAGTATGCTATTCCTAGCTGCCGCGCACCATTTCGAAGCGAGTTATGGGCTTATTCCTGCGCAGAATCGGCATACTACTGAACATGGAAAGACTGCGTGTAGGTAAAAATGTGCAAGAAAAGGGTGCTGAGACATCGAAATAATACAATTCAATCTTTTCGCACTAAAAAGATGCTTAACACAAGCGTATTAGCACTTAGATGATGATGCCGTGATGCCAATGAGTCAATAAGTATGCCAATAATGCGCAGGAAAAAGCTCATAACTCGCTTCGGAATGGTGCGAGGCCGCTAGAATAGCATATTTAAAATCAAAGCTGATATAGAATATATAGATCTCTTACCAAAAGGCTGGGCTAATTTAGTTAGCTTCCCTTGTTAGTTGAGGGGGATCTCTATCTAACTGTGTCAACATCTGTGATAGGACAACTTTACCCGACGCTGCCTTTAACGGCAGTGGCTCGGCGGAAATTTGCCCTCCATTCTTTCACCTTTTCGGAGCCTTCTCGCCACGCTGAACCTACCTTGGCTTTGCAGCGCATGAAAATGGCGAAAATGAGCTTTTTTTCGAAGCTTATGGCTGTCTCGCTGGAAAATGCGTGTAAATAGTAGGGGTCCGGAAGACTTCCGAAGTAGATTTTAGGTTTTCGAACGCGCTTTTTCGCTTCAGAGTTCAATGATATATTAGTTGGGGCTCCGCCATTGCAACGCTGTAAAATCCCAACACCTATCAATTTGCCGGGACGCTGCCTTTGCATTCGCCATACATGGCGACGCCACGTTTTGCGACCTGCGTTGAACATGTAAACGAGCATGGTTCGGAAAGACTTTTGGTTTTGCAACTGCTGTTTCTCTGAGCCAGCGAGGGGAAGAGTTTGTTTCCTCAGTAACCAAGAGTGAAATTCCGGAACTTACGTTATTAGCTCTAAACGAGGAGACTATGGATTTGTACGCAGACCCAATGCGATTGCATGATCATACAACTGGCCTTTGCTTTTTACATAGTTCTAGCATTTACTCAGATTTTTTTTTATCTTCGACAGATTTTGGACCGTGATTTTAGAGCTAATCTTACTTCGTCCACAGATCGCAGATGAAGTTATCTTTGCTTACGTGAAGTTATTGGGAGTTCCCACAAAACTTCGAAATCTTACCGCTATCATCACATTATACATTTATCACATACATAAGGGTACATGTGATTGATTAAATGATTCATACGCATTCGAATGTGAAGAAATGGTTTATCGCTTCCAAATCTGCCAATGCAAAATGCTATCTAGCAGTTTTCTTTTTCATGGAGACGGGTAGCACGGAGTGTTGGAGATTGTAAAAGTGACTGCCGTTCTCCAAGGTCATAACTGAATGCATAGCAATCAATTTCTGAGGCTACGAACGGTTGGAATCCTGGATATCTACAAGAGACTTCCCTTGTTTTGGCAAATCGAAAATAACCTTGTCGTTATCATTGCTACAGTTGGGTAATGTGAGCTATTTAGGGATCGAACTTATATGGTTTCAATCACTGTGAAAGGATATATTGGCAATTTCTCAAAAAACGCCATGAACCTACATCCTAGTGCATTAGAGAATGTTTCTTACGAAATTATTTGGGGTCCCCATCAAGTGAAAGCGTACGATTTACGCATATTTATTGCTTTACTTTTACCTCAGCCATCTAAATCAGGTATGTTTTTGTGTATGTCCATATCAGGAGAAAAACGCTCATATGAGGGGAAAATGAATTTTCTTCTCAACATTCGCCCTTTCCGATCATGTACCATTCTTCTATAAGAATAGCGTCTCGCTGCAGACCATGGAAAGGCAAAGAGCTGGCATAGTGGGCATAATTATAGGGCGGTATATCCTTTCCGTTTTTGGAATGTGAGAGAGGTGGGTTAACACTGAGAATGTGTCTTAGTGTCTTTTCAAGAATATAGGAAGAAACCGCAGCAGATTTGCTTACACAAAATAAGTTGGATAATCTGATTCTTTTGCTGATTGATAATGCGATTAGTAAATGAGAGGCATAGGAAAGCGAGATAAGATCTACTGTGCAATTTTATGTATCTATAGATAAAAATTGAAGTTGTATGAAGAATATCTCGCATCATATCACTTTTCAGGTACTGTTCTCTAAAAAACAGCAAACGCGCGTCTATAAGTACGAATTTTCCTGTTGATCCCTACTTTGCCTCTTCCACATCTGAGAAGGACACAATCGTAGCGCTCGTTCCTTTTTTAGCGCTATACTTTCGCTTGCGTCCCTTTTTGCTAGTTTTTGCTTCCCTTTTTCAAACCTGTTCTAGCATTCCCTGAGATGAGCCTCCTCGCGCTTGCTAGCATAGCCTCAGCGACCGTCCTTCATTCTTGAAACTAGCTCCTATTGGTACGGTTTCGCGGCAGAAATAAGCGAGATTTTTCATGGCCATGAAGCTTGAAAAGTAGGAACTAATCACTGATGTATCGCCGGGGACTAAGGATGTATGTAACTATGGTGAAGGGAGACATGATTTCTTCAACAACACCTTTGAGACATCATTTGACTCTCAACCACTACTCCATTATTGTTCAGGACCAAGGCCATGTTTAGCAGCTCTAACTTCACAATGGCGACCGCTATACGCGAAGTCAGTTTTTGCCATGGCTATAGTTAGGGCTCAATATAACTGTGCTTGATATTGTGCTCAATGATTGGTTAGCTGTTATCAGAGAAACTATATATCCTATAGAGATTGTTATCTCAATCCCCTGCATGCGTGAGTAGCGCCCCTATGCACAACTGAGGAGAGCTTGCGATAGTTAGGTGATTACTGTAGCAATTGTGACAACTGAACTTCACTAACATGCTATAAAGGGCTCTTGGGCGACGCCTTGCAAGGATGACAAGATAGTGTGCACAATTGCATGTGTTGTTCTGCCTTGTACTCTCTAACAAACAAATTTTATTTCAACTCTCGGCTTACCGTAGGCGTAAACTTGCGTACCTGGCACGGGATTCTCTCTCTCTCTTTTTGACCATTACAGTACCAGCTCACGACCTTCACACTCTCACACGAACACCACTGAGGGAAGAGAGTGGGCGCGGTAGGAGGGGCTGGACGTATCGTGAAATTGTATGACAAAGAAAGAGACACAGAGCGAGGGCGGCTCGCAGTGCGATGGGGAGCTGTGGTCTGTGTTAGGCATCGAGGAGGTCCATGGTAGGTGTGGATACCGTTCTCAAGCCGGCGCTTGAAGCCGAAGCCTGTCCGGTGTGTGGCGATCGAGTCTCTGGATATCACTACGGATTGCTGACTTGCGAAAGTTGCAAGGTGAGTTGCGGGCTCTCCCTTTTCCTTGGCCATGACGGTTTCTTTCTCTGGCCATGACGGTTTCTCTTCTGCAGCTACCCTCGAGGCAGACGTAAGTCCTTGAGTTCAGGGTCGTAGACCAAGGCCAGTTACTTTGCACTGTCTCTACTGTCAGTTAACTTTCTTTTATTCCAGGGTTTCTTCAAACGAACTGTGCAGAACAAAAAGGTGATTTCAAATACATACTTGCATTGTTGCTTCTTCTTAGAATTGTTCCTTCTATGCTCTAAACCGGCACATACTTCATTTCCATATCCTCTCGATCTAATGGAAGAATTTTCATATTACTTATATCGCACCTTTGAGCAATGAGTTTGAGCGCAGATCAAGGCCTAAGCTATCTCACATATTTTTAGCACTATCAATGCTCTGCGGATTCATCCTGTCACGTCGACAAGACTTGTCGAAAACGCTGCCCGAGCTGTCGCTTTGCAAAATGCATGGCGGAAGGAATGAAAGTTGAAGGTGAGCAGAGCAAACATAAACAACATACTATCGAAGTTCAAATGTTCTATCAAGTTCGCGCCCCTTGCTTGGATTTTTGCGTTTCATCTGCAATGGGAGCATTCACCTAGCGACGAAAAAACCGGTCGTAGTAAATCGATCGTTTGAAGCATCAAATGTGAATCGAAAGGCGCTGTATTCACCCTCTCCGCTGATTACTGCGATCGCTGATGAACGCCACTGCAACTACTAGCACCTTCCCGGGCGATACTGTAGGGATTGGGAAAGCGATATCACTGTCGTAGCGCGAATCAAATTCATCGCACTTTTCCATAATCACAATCATGCAGAGACAAATCAGATAACAACTCGCATAAAGACTATATATTCAACTTAGTGGTCTTCGTCGAAAATCTGTTGAAAAATTAGCAGTATTCCTAGCGAGTAGGAACCACAGCTACTTGCTGCTACAAAGCGGTAATCATGGCGTTGGTTTCTCATTAAGAGGTTGGATCGGTATGCGGGAGCATTAGCATTAGATATTGTTCTACAAGGCTATTTGGAACCATTGACGCAAAATCGTGTGCACGGGAGTACGCACCATTCTTTGACCAAAAGATGACATAGCTCACTCTGATGACCATTTTCCTAGCTGTTCGTGAAGACCGAATGCGTGGCGGAAGAAACAAGTTCGGCTCGTATTACAAAAGAGATCGAGCAGCTCGCATGCAACGCATCGCCCTACAAGGTAGCAATCCACAGGCTAATCCGGGCGCCTTCTACACACCGCAACCACCAATGGACCACCAAGTGACAAGCAGGTAATGCTTGGTCTCTGCTCTATCGCTTGCCTCGTATAACAGAAATGTAATCTTTAGTACGCCCGATCAGCCTCCTCACATCCATTATTTTGAGGGAGATCAGCACAAAGTGAAGACTGAATACGATGCAATGTTACAGAGTCCCACTCTGTCAAGTAGCACTCCATCTCAGCAGAGTAAATTTCTCCTTCATTTTCAAGGTTTATTGAATGTGTTGTTGACTTGTTTGTGTTGTGCCTTCCACAATGTTTTACATTCCATAGTGTTCCCACAAGCTACTGCTTCATTATCTGTATTCCCGTGCATCGGTTTAGATTGTTATAGTTTCAGACTTTATAATCCATCGACCAAATCCTTATGTACCCGATAGCGAAGGGTTAGCGGCTCTGCTGGGACAGTCAATAGACGACCCACTCCTGAGATCTCAGACATTTCCCATCTACCCCACCATCAAGCCGGAACCTTTCGACTATGCAGACCACTATCTGCCTGCCCAGATACCTGACTACTCAGCATTTCATACACCAATCAGTTATTCAACAATGATTTCTCATGCTGCAAATTCAGTACCTCGAAGCGCCTCCAACTCAGGTGAGTTGTTTTTTGTACTTCCGACACTTTTCCGAAGCGCTAGTTACATCAGCATCGCTATTCAGGTTCAAGCAGATCTTCTCCCGTTCTCCCTGTCTGTCCGATCCCAACGGAGAAGACAGTGGATGCATTTTATGTAAACAATAATGAAATGGAGTGGTTGTTAAGAGCTCTGCCTGAAAGTCCACGGTAAGTTGAGTTTGTTTTTGCTTGACTTTCTGCTTCGCATGGAAGTCGACTATGCAAATTTTGAGTGCAAGTTCATGCTGCGAAGCTATCTAACGGAGTCGAGTAAGCACCATACCTTCGAAATGTTATCCGTTTGCAGAATTCTATCGATTCTTCGAAACGTGGACAAATCTGATCCATTCACTTATTCTATGGCTGTGGTGGAGGCAAATCTGAACGATCTTGTAACTTGGGCGAAAAACGCTCCCTATTTTCCTCAGCTTGAGGTCTGTTGGTCAACATAGATACCTATCGGGTAGTTAGAATGTCTTGCACTGTGTTCTTCCCTCGTTCTCAAATTTTCCAAAGTGGCCATATCCGGTGTTAAGGAAACATCAAAACTGTTCCGTCCTCTCAACACAATTATATACAACACCGCCTTTTGAGCGCACTCGCAATTCACGCGCTATTCGCTAAATTGACAAAGCGTAAATGTGCCGCCCTTATTGTACCCTGGAAACAAAACACCGACACAGCCGTAATGAAGAACCAGGGGTCACTAGCGGACCGCAGTGCGGGACAGTCATGTGGCAAATCCCCTTCAGTAACTACCGCAAACGTTGCATTACAGATGGAGGATCAGATGATGATCCTGCAATCATCTTGGGCTTCCATACACGTGATAGACGTCAGTTATGCAGTCCTCAAAGGCGAGATCTCCCATATCGTGAAGCTTTCCAATGGAGTCGAGTGAGTACATTGTTTTATGAAATATGCTCCAGCACAAATGTTTTTGTACCATGCATGAGAGCCAAAGAGCAAAAGATCTTTTGTCGTGGTTTGCGTAACCTCATGACGCTATCTATACTATATCTGATAGCTCTCGCTAGCAACGCGGCATTTTGCTTTCGTCAAAGGTTTACGATCATGATGAGGTCATGAGATACTCGCAGTTCGAATCCTAATATATCCCTCACAACTCTGTCATGTTGAGGTACATCATTACTGATGACTCTTTAAAACAAGCTCGATTCTAGTATTCCAACTGGACTGATCGCGCTCATGGGTTACCATATCCATATTCACAAGTGGACAGAACTTATTGGTAGACTGCATGCCCTCGGCTTTGACCGATGTGATTACGCTGCTTTCAAGTTCCTCGCATTTTATCAAAAAATCGAGGATCAGAGTAAGTCATCTTCGTCATTCTTTCGTTGACCTAATGATGTAATGTCGTATATTTTCTAGCTGAAGTGCAGTTGAAGAATCCACACCACATTCTGAAAGCTCGCGAGTCTCTTCTGGCGTCTTGGGGCGCATATAGAGGCACGTCGAATGCCACCTTGCTGCCTCACTACGAGGTTTTCGTGCAAATGAAGTGAGCATTTTCTCTTGGCATGTCACTTTCACTACTCATGTGTTGTAGTCTTGGTAGCCTTGGCTGAAGTGCCTGTGCCGCTCTCCCATTCGTTCTTTAATGACCTTGAACGTGCCGAGATTCAGTGCGGATATGCTGCGCGCTTGACTTCCTCGAGTACCAATTAGCATTCAGGGACCTGTAATTACTGTATGTCATTACTGTAGCCCAGCGGAGACATTCCCACAAACTGTAAAGGAACGGTCAATTTGCATATGTAGGCTGGCAACGCAATAGAGGCTAGCCGGGGTCAGGCAATTAGCGGCTAGAAAGTGCAAAAACACACGCGATGAAGACATCAAATCTCGCGACATTGTGACAAGTTTCGATGTACAAGCTATTCATAGACCGTTTTACACTGATAAGACTTCAAATCACTATAGTATGATATGAATATGTACAGAAAAATCCTCTTGTTAGTTTTGGAACCAGTTCAGATGGTGAAATGCCCCGCACATGTCATGAAAGTAAGTGTGCGCAAAGGTTTCTCGCGTCGCGAAAATTCCCTTCAAGATTGTGAGCGTTGGTGACCTTGGTGGCACAACCTATAGTATGAGTGAGTCGCAGAGAAAAATCTGATTAGATAACGGGAGCGTCGCATTCATAGTTCATTATTTCGTGTTTTTTATTGCAGAACGCTGGCACAGGCGTCACAGCACTTCCTCGTCGAACGCAGCATCGCCGGAGCGGTACGACTCCCTTTACTGTCCGAGATGCTGAATCCTCTGGTGAACCGATCACTCCCAAACTATGTACGATAGCTGTTATATACGCTTAGATGCCTTCCGCTTCTCGTTGTACGCCTGTGATCATTGATTGTGCGAATGTCACCTAGAAGTTATATACATATATATATCTATAGCATAACCCTGCAATAATGCGTGTTCAGCAAAGTCCTCTTTTCTTCATCAGTAGTGTGTCATTCTATAGCTGCTGCGTGTCATTTAGTAGCTAACTCGCTGCGTTATACATTTTTTTTTGTTTCTTTTCCCTTCTTTATTATGTACCGATTTGACGCGCAAGCGTCGATCTCCTATGGCTTTTCGTTACGGGACGCCTGCCTTTACATATGCCTCTAATTGCGCCCACCGGGTTTCGCGGTACTCTTATCAAGTTTCTGTCATATATCAAGTTGCTATCATATACATATCTGCTTGGTCTACTCTACTTGAAACATTCCATGTGTATAGGTAAAAATTGGATATCTGCTGCAAGTTCTGTTGTTGTAGTTTGGCAATTGTTTAATACTCAGTTGATTCTCTTTTTATTGGCTTATACAGCTTCCACTGTTCCCTTTATTTGTTGATACACAAAAATACTGTACAATAAAACTGTACAAATAACCCAAATTTCTGTGAGGCGAGGAAGGATCATGGAGCCTGTGTAATGTGTAATGCACTACTCTACTTATCTAATTGTTCAAGTATTGATTTTTGAAGTAGGTAGGTACATATGTATGCTCCATGTCCTTGGCCATCGTTCGCTGCACACGATGCTATGAGGACAGCCTTGTTGGTGGAGCCTAGAATGTAAAAGCACAACCCTTCTCTAAGCAGGTCGTCTGGACATCATGAATGATATGGCTCATAGAATACCAAGAGCCAAATTTATTCTGATATCTCACAATGAGTGCAGCCATAAAGTATTTGCACTACTCGTTATCTAAATGTACAAGTATTGCTCCTTGTATGACGGCGCATCGGTCGGACTTGATCATAGGTGAGCAAACCTTGTTACGACACTGAGCGATCTTTCCCGAATGGGAATGTTCTCTAAGGACGATGATCAAAGGTCTACACGCCTTTAATTCACTCTAAACAAAATACTGGAGGTGAATCAGCTTGCTAAACGAAGAAATTTGCAATCGTGGATTTAAGGGAGCAGAGGAAACTACGAGAAGACCAGACCGAGTTGTGGCTGAAGTTACCAGAATACCTCCACTAAATTTGATGCGTAAAATTCCATTCTCATTTCCTTTCATACTCAGCCCCAAGGTCTAAATTGCTACAGCCAAATCTTGTCTCTTGAAAAATTAGAAGCTTCCCCTCCCAGTTCTTGCAAGGCTGCTTTTGGTGTCGTTTTGTTTCACTGAATGTCAGATTCACTGAAATCTCAAGCACTCATTCAATAGCCTCAAAATCGCGAAAGATTCGCGGTTTAGGCGACCGGCACACTTGTGGTCGTTCTTACATTCATTCTCTTCGGAGTTTTCTCAAAACAGCACCTTCCTCAACAGAAGTGCGATTATATATGTCGGGGTCTCATTAATCCATTTGACAAAATAGTTTTGCTAAACAAAGCTGTTTATGGGATGGATCGACTGGCGCCGTAGTTCAATTTCATATGCATTGTAAGAGGACTTCTTTTTTTTGCAGATATCACATAGAAGTGCTCCTTTAGATTTGTCCATCTTTCTGTATTCTTGCAGTTTTACTTGCATTTTTGACAGTTTTGGAGTATATTTGAATGTTACAGCTGATCCCGCTGCTTCGGATTTCACTAGGGTTACGAGCAATTTGTAACTCCGTTCACAAAGTCTGTTTCGCACTTCTTTCAAAAAAAAATCTTATATCAATTGCATTTCTTCGACACCTATATACTCTCCATTTGGTATGTGTTCTATCTTTCTATCGGTCAATTCTACAGGGTGGGGCAAAAGTCTGGGAGCCTTGTACTTTTTCAGATAAAATCAGAAGGAAAGTGCCTAGGAACAAAAAATTCCGTGCACACGTAAATTGAACCTTCACAAATACAGCGCTGCTCTCGAATTTTGAGATTGCCTCTTGTGGCTTCAAAGCATCCCTTCGAAATCTTCGCGAGTCCGCCTGTCATGGCACGCAGACAGTCGTGGTGAAATTAGTTCCGCGTCTTGACGATAACTGTTTCTTTTAGCAGGCAAATGTGCGGTGTGATAGTGCAAGCTTTTGGCTACAATGTACTGCGAAGAAATTTTTTTTGCAGTGTTTAGGGAAAAAATTTTGGAATTTTAATTAAAGGCAAGTGTGCTCGTATACTGGAAATCTGGATGCGATTGCGCGAACGGGAGCGAAAAATCATAATCTAAAAAGTATTGAAAATGCTTGATCGATCGAACTCAAGTACATACTTGCATAGAAGATTCATGGGAAGAATATAGCCCAGAAATCAGTGCCTGATGTGCTCTTATAGCTTTCATATTTATTTCAAAGAAAAATGGCCACTGGCACGCAGGTGGTATTCGCAAAATTTGATTTTGCGTTTTCGAAAAAATAGTATCTGAGAAACGCAACGACTACGAATTGATAGTGCAAAGTCTCCTCTACATTGTGTACATCAAAGTGCTTTAGAAAATCCACCGTATCTTTAGCTACGGAATAAGTTGTGAAGACCAAAAATTTCGATTTTTTCGCTTTGCAGAGCACTTGTTTGATAAATCCAACTCCTATAAGAACATATGACAAGCATTTTCAGCCAGCCAAAGTGTGATTTGTAGAGGATGATCGCAGCAATATGTGGCACAAATTTGGAATCAAAATCATCAGTAGTTTCTTGATTTACAGCACTGAAAAGTAGGCTCCCAGACTTTTGCCCCACCCTGTAAATTCTATCGGTTCAAAACAAATCTAGACAAGCAGAGCCAGCTCTAGCCAAGCTACATAAAGAGCTTACCTTACAGAGAAGCCATAAGCATAAGCAAGTGGTCATGTTATATTGATGCCTTATGTTGAGCGCTAATACCGGGTGATTTCAGCGGTTAATGCTTCTCTGTGTAAAAACTAGCTGGCATACCCATCTCCGTCCGGTCCTTTCAGTACTACGGTAAAGGTCACCAATCCTATTTCTGTACAGTAATATCCTGTCCCTGTCCCACATCTGTATGCCAGTTCTCTTCCTCCACTATGTTTTCGCAGTTATCATTGCATTTAACCCTCTGTACTACCTCCTAGCTCTTCAAGCCAAGCTTTGCAATCAATAAAACGGTGAATGAAGTAGGTATTTTCCCAAGTTGTTACTTTCGTATCACCATACTCACTCATCCCTCCCCCTGTGTCAGCTCCCAACAACGTAGCTCAAACTTTGCAAAAACACATAGTCGGTAAAGGTAATCGATAGTTCTAAAAGTTGATATTGTTTTTGTAATAGCTTCCTCACTTACCTCTATGTGCCAGTGTCCAATGCTTAGCTTGAATTCTACAAAAAACGGTAATTGATATCGATCGGAACCAAAAGCCTACGATGCACTCTCGCACCGCCCCAAAGTTTGTTCCAAATCGGTTTGGAAATAGAATTTCCTATTCGGAACATACGTAGACCAGTGGCGTACCGAGGGGGGGGGGACTAAACGCAGACAAACAGACATTCTCATAGGTGACGAAAGCGGAAAGGAATGATGCCTCGCTTATTTTTTAAGTTTCTGCATACAAAACAAGCGAGCACAAGGAAGCCTTGTCAAAAGTTCTGTATTTATTGAGTCTGTTGCATAGTAGACAATCCCTGGACGAAAAATGGAGTATTCCTCGTGGAGGTACTCTGTACAACAACTATTTGTCCCCTTCAAGGACTGAGAACCGAAGTAGAGTTAATGGTGATTTCAGTCGAAAATTCTTCTATTCACTCATTTACGTATCATTTATGGAAACCTCCGTAGATGGAAGTGATAAGCACTCTTCATTGGTCTTTTGTTCCTGACTTAACTAGATTCGTTCGACTGCGACATTTTGTGTGGAAACGCATGCATTTCTACGCTTATAGTAATCAAACGCTGTAAAAAAACAAGCTATGGTTGGAAAGCAACCCCGTACTAAAATCATCCTTTCTGCAAGGCGCCGTTGTCAGACAGCTCTTCAATGTCGGGTTGTGCAGACGGCTTCCACGACTCTCTTATGATACCGTTTCACGCGTATAGGACGCGGGGGATTTTTTTTTTTGAAACAACAGCACAGATCTCCGAAGGACTTCGCGACCAAAAAACTATCTACAGTGCTGCTATTGCCTGACAAGCGTTTGCTAGGTCCAAGTAGCGATTTGAAAGTGATGTATACCCGCAAACAGAGCTCAAAACGCTGATCTCAAATATATCTTCCATAACTGCGAAGCGTTTTCTGATAAGAAGTTATTAGATTTTTTGTGATTATCTGGAAGTGTGGTCTAGAAGGAAAATGACGACCTGCGGATTACAGCATGGTTGGCAGGTATATTAGAGATTAGATCCAGAGGCCAGCACGAGGTGGCATGTGAAAAATTCAGGAACGAAGTCCCCTTGATATTGCAGAAATTAACGAGATACCTTTTGCAGTGTTTGTAGAGGCTCCTCTAATAATCCGCAACAAAAAATGAATTGAAGTGAGGAAAAGACAAGAATAAGTTAGAAATTAGAAAGCGAAATGCAAAAAAAGGTGTTTTTATGACATCAGGAGCCGTAAAAAAGCATAGGGGACGAAACGTAGTGCATGGTCTAGATGATTGATTTATGTAAAAACATCCGGCAGTTTATGGGAAGAAGGGGGAGAATGCTGAAGATTCATAACTTTGTGTGGATCCGCGCAACCTCAGGGTGCTCCAAGGTTGCGCGGGAGCAACCTAAAATCGAAAAACACAAATCCTCTCGTTCACATAATTTTTTTCATAATTTTTCTTACTTTTCTTTTGATCATCGCCGCGGGTGTACACACCAAATTCAATGACTCAATGTTGTTTACTCTACAAAGCGATTGTTTATATTTTTGTTCGTAAAGATTGTGTTTCGACACGTTGAGACCACTTGTGCACACAGGTTCAAGCA